CCTGTGTTACCAAAGACCTGTCGCTATTACTGTGCAATAATATAGCAGGCCATGGGACATGTATTTTGCAAATTGACCTTGCGATCTTCTGAAGGAGAAGATTCTCAAGAATGGTGGTAGAGCCCAAATAGCTGAAGACATTAGAGAACACATAGGAGAGAAGGACCCTACAGAAGCCTTAACTGACATATTAGAATGCATTACAGTACAACTTGATAAAAGCATCCCAAAGCTAGAGCAAAAGCCTTCCTAAGCAAGTTGTGTAATTACGTTACGTAAGGTTTCAGGAGACATCAAAATAAGTTAACATTTGAAGAAGCAGTCTGCAGACCACTATCACAGAAAGAAAGTCACCACTACAAGACGAGCTGCCTACAAAACAAGACTGCATCCTCTTCTACTGCCTGCTGCAGACAGCACCTGCACCTTCTCTCTTGCTGAAACGCTTATCAGGTATCAACTCTGGCACTGTGAGGCCTCTTACTGATTTCCTTGTTTTTCAGGTTCAAGTCACCTGAAGGCTCCAGCCATTTTTGCTTCCCAATGAAAATCAAAAACAAGGACTGGAGACAGTTACTGAGGAGAAATCAATTTTATATGACTTAGAATGAAAATAAACAAATAAAGTCCCTTCCCAACTGCTCCCAGCAGCTGGGAGGCTTTGGACACTAAAAAAAGGCATGTAGAAGTTAACAAATATTATACTGAGTATTGAATACTGAAGCATCTGCTGTCACACCTGCAACATTACTAATGGCTCAGAGCAGGATGCTGAAGGGTCACTCTGTTTTTAAAATGTGCCTAGCATTGATCTCATTTAAAAGCCCTTAGTCTTCAAACACCACATACTTTCACAGTAAAAAAGCAACATCCCTACATCCAAACTGTTTTCCTGTTTGTGCCTAAAGAGAGCTTCTTCTAGAGAAATTGACTCTTAGGAAGGCAAGTTGCTTCTTCCCCCTTGCAAACTCCACAAGTGCCTTGACAAACTACACAAACTATGTGCTTCCCATGCCTGCAATGCTTTGGCAATTTGGAATCTAAGGATGCAGCTGCTTTCTTTATTTATTGCTTGTTATAATCCAAAGATGCTGGGCCTGCCATAGCTCTTTGCTGTCTTTAAAAGATTTAGTGAAGGGTATTTTCCATTTCCTTACATACAGAGCTTTTCAGAACCTGTCAGACAGCGAGCAGAAGACATCTACTATCGTGTCCCTTTCTGCATCCGGGAAGTCTTGCTGGACCCTCACCTTCTTTCACTTCCATGCTGCAGACACGGCAGAGCTCAAGTGCTGGAGCTTGCATTGAAACTTCAGAGTTATTCTGGTATAAATGCATGAGTGAGTGACCCAAAGGAAAATGGAAGTCAGAAGGCATAAAAAATGTGTTCCTGTAATGAATTTACTTAACTATAACCAAAAATGGGAAGAGCAGACCTTAAAATCATAGCCATAGAAGCTGCTGTAGAGGATACAGGCTGCATCAGTGCTCTCAAACTGACGGCATTCTAGGAAACACTGTGATTGTAGACAGGAAAGCAGCTAAAGTTTCAGACCAGTAGCTGTCACAAAGTTCTTGTACAGTTTTCATACAGTTACACAAGAGGAAACATTTAGGAGGTACATGAATAGCTGCTACATACACCTTCTGTTTTTTGATCAGGTCATTTTAAGTGCTGCAGTTTAATAAAACACTTAATGTTTTGCATTAAGTTATTATCCAATTAAAGATTAATATGAACAAACACAAAAATTCTTTATCAGTTTCTATCGCATATGTTGCAAAATTAATTTTCAGTTACTTAATTTAAGACCAACACTGTATCACACTAAGGACCATTTTAAAGTCATACTCCAGCACACACTGGAAAAAACTTTTGTTCAGAAATTGGACTGCAGCTCTACTACAGTTTGTTTCAGCACTTTCCATTAAAAGCAATTGTGTTCAATCTCCTGTCTTGCTGGCCTTATCAGGGTAGAGGAACGGTGCAATTTGCACATAGTAAAGACAGATTTGTGCATAAAACTAAGATTTGAGATATGTGTCCAGCTTCCAGTGCTTTTACAGAACTTTTTAAATCATCCTAAATAGGTCACTTCATCTCCCTAAGCCTCAGTTCTCAGACCTTGAGTAGCAAAGTCAAACTTACTACTGTTGTTAACTATTCAGACACCAGAACTGAATGTCCTAGAAAACACAGTAACAAGTCAATAAAAAAACAACTGGGAAAGAAGAGGTTAGTCTGACACTCAGGCCTAGGAACACACAAAGTAGAACTTACAGGACCAAGCTTTCTGTTGTTCATTACTTCTCATTAGGAAGCACTAAGTTTAGCACAGTATCTTTGTTGTGGGAAGGATCCAAGAAAAGGATACATTCAGACTTGTAATGAATATAAAACACCTAATAAAGCTGCTACCTTGTCAATCAGTTGTAGGTTGAGACAGCCAAAAACAACAGGAAGATTCCAGTAGAGCAAAGAACACACATCTACTACATCAACTCATTAAGCAAATATGTCCAAAAAAGCCTGTGTGCATAGAGTAGGCAAAGAGCAAACAGGAAACTTGAACAGGTTTCCTTTGCTCTCTTGCAACTTCTGAACAACCAGGAAACACTAAGTCTGGCGGAGTCAGCTGCTTGTTCCTGTGAACAGAGACGGTCAGTCTTACCTACCCAAAACAGCTAACACACAAAAAAGTGATAAAACAAAATGAAAACTATCTTCCCTCAGCCTCCATAGGCTTTGCACACATGCATTCTTACGCTACTACTGAACGCAATTCTGTAAATGTAATCTCAACATCTAATCTCTACAGTATCAAATTTTATTGATGAAGGTGCAACACAGCAAAAAAAAAATACTGCTTAAGCAGGCATAGTGAATAGCAGTGCTACGCAGGTGGAATCCCTCAGTTAAATACAAGAGGAAGCAGAAAGTCATGAGGCTTTACTCCTCAGAGTGGCCCAATATCTATGTGCATCTCAAGTTTTGCGATCAGCCTTCAGCTTGCCTTAGACATATTTTTTTACAGCGCATTTACAATCTTGGCTTTCCTCCACGTCACTTGCATTGCACACAGGCATGCTATACTGTGCCATGTTACCTCATTTTTACTGAGCATACTTGCTCTTCTGTCTGCGGGCAATTAACTCAATTTGCGACAAATAAAAGTTTCAGCAACCAGTTTAAGCTCCTCATGAGGCTTTTGGCATGGGCTGGAAAAAGTCTGCCAGCAAACTACGGCCACAAGTAGCAGTTGTTTTTACCGGGGAAATTCATTCTTCAGCAAGAATCCTCTCCTTCTATCCCACAGATATAGCCAACATACTGCAGCTTTTCATCTGCCTGTACTGCACAGTTCTCTCACCTGTATCAGACAGGAGAGGATATATCCTGTAAGAAGCATATGAGGGGTATGCATTTACTAATGGAATGACTCCAAAATACACAACACAGCAATTTGCTCAAGAACTTAGTTATAGGGGTTTTCAAATAAGAGAGCACTATGTCCTCTTTGGCCAGACAAGCAAGACAAAATAAAAAGTGCATAAACAATTGCTGACATTCATACATAGTTCACTGAAAAGTTGTGCGTTTCCCACTACCACCTACCATGTTCTCCAAAACTTTTTTGGGGGGAGAATAAACACAAACCAACACTGTCTCTGCTCAGAAGAAACAGTCAGTTTTCTACTCCATTTCTTACTCTTGCACTCTTCACTGTCATACCTCAGGCCTTCTCAGGAAAGCTGCCAGAATTGCCAAAAAGAGATCTGCCCAGACAGCTGGACTTACCACTCTGATCAGGCACTAAAACTGTTTGACCTTGGCCACCATTTGCAGTGCAGACAGCTACCTCCTTATTGCATATGCCCAGTTAAAAATAATACCAAACTGACTGTGACAGAGTGCAATTCTCCAGATGATAGAAACCTTCAGTTAAGTAAAAATATCATTTTGTTGCTTTTTCTTCTCCTCTTTGCACCTTCTCTTGGTTCACTGAATCATGCCAGTCTGTGCATTAATCTCTGGCCAAATAAGTCTCATTATACCACACTTTCCTGCTAAGTCTCATCTTGTCTTGATTGGTGCTTTCCTCTCAGGAGTACACAGCCTGTTATCCTGCGGTTTATTACCTTCAAAAAGAGCCTGAAGACAAAAGACACCTCAGGACATTAAATGGTCCATTGATACTCTGTCACAACTTTTATTTGAACAATTTGGCTAAGATGACCTGAACAGATAGGAAATAAATCAGAAAGGTTACAAAGGACAACCACAGAAACAAAATTCCACCCCTAATCTTGGCAAGAATTCCAAGCAGCATTTCAGCCTTACATGGAAGTATTTTTACTTCTGTAGTCAGCAGTTAAAATTCAGTGCACAGTTCTAGAACAGCACCCAACTGTGAAAAACAGCCCTTTATGAAATTTGGAGCGCTATTAATGTAACAGCTTACAATGTGACCAAGCCAACAAAAGCACAAGAAAAGTAGGGAGATGAAGCACAGAGTAAGTGACTCACCTAACTGCACAGGCAGTCTGTCATGGGGCCAAGAATTGAACCTGGTTTTCTTTAAATATCAGCTAATTGCCTAATGAGTAAAATGAGTATTTGTGCAGAACTCTACTTACCCAAGCACTAGCTGGACAACAGCTATCATGCATCATACCAAAAACTGTATGAATAGGTGCAACATCTTTATTAACTGGACAGAAAGGTACCACTAAGAAGCAGGTTAGTGCCAAGCCCAGACCTGCTCCAGCCTTTCTAGCTGTCGTTTAGAAGCCTTGTTTGATTTCCCCTTGGAATAATGACATAGGCAAAATTCAGATCTTCTGAAAAGAAGGAAATTCAGTTACCTGCACTATTATTAAATGCTTTAGAAGATCTACCATATAAGTGTGATTAAAAAAAAAAAAAGAGAGAGGGGAAGATATTATTTTGAATGAATGTCTTCTAGTCCAGGTTAAAAAACAAGAAGAGACAACCATACCTTAATTTTCTGGTGAATATGCCTCAGTGAATCTGCTGTACCCATGTCCATGTTGTCACTGATGCAGACAAAATCCAGCTTCATTTTTGTGTCCAGGTTTAACACTTTTTGGATTTCCTTCCTCGTAATCACAATGACCTCTGGGACAGAAGAAAGCATGGTGAGATCAAGCAAAGACACCAACGTATTTATAATGAATAAGGCATGCTCACTTTTTACTTTGAAGCCTGATGGGAGTGTTGAAAGGCTTGAGTCACATAATTGGGTTCTAAAGTGAACTAAGCTCTCTTGGTAATAATAGGTCTGGCAATGAAGATCCTAATGAAGATGAAAAAAATCTCTGCTTTGCAGGGAGTCTACTCAAAGGGACAGACTTGACATGTAAAGTGACATAAGGGGTAGCAGGACAAAGACATTTTCTACCATTAGCAAGTGTTCTCCAACTATCTTCTCAAGGAATATGAATTGAGGAATGCCACCATAAGACCCTGCATTAAGGCCACTGACAATTTAGATCTCCATCCTTTGCCCATCTCAGTCCTGTGTAGCTCTCTGGAAAACACCACCAACCACAACATTTTATTGCTCAAATCACTTTCTTGTATCAGCTTGGAAAGTAATTTACAAAAGAGAACAGGTGGGTCATATTTGAAGTATGGCAATAATGATATCAAAATATATTTGGAAAGCAAAGAATGTGACAATTGAAATGCTGTGGAGAAAATATTTAGAAAGAGAACAACATGAAATCTTTTCTTCTGGCCTCAGGAACTGGAATTAAAAGGAAGAGTCTAACCATCAATTTACCTTGAAACAGAAAATAAAACAAAACATATCATCATAAACCTGTGAGATTTTAACAGACAAATACAGCAAAAAACATAGCCATAAGCCTAGGAAGCTTCTGTTATAAGCCAAAAATACACAAATTGTTTTTAGTGTATGTTAAAACCCAAGTCATAATGAACCTGTTAACAGAAAAAATGAAGAAGCTGCAAACATGAGTTGTGGGGCAGTTTGGTATCTGTATATGGGTACCCTCTCCTATATGGGAAGCCAACTCAGACTCAAAACAAACTGTAGGACCTACTCAAAGCAACGGAATAGCAATATCTTGAACTGGGGAGAAAAATCCCTGATGGAGAAAGAATTCCCACCTTTTAGCATACATCCTGCAAGTTGGACAAATGAGAGACAAGGAACTTGCAAGGGGGACAAACGGGAAAGGGCCGGTCAGCATGCTGAACTCCTGTTTACTAACACAGGCACAGGTGAGGAATAAAGAGAATGGAGCAAACACTCATAAAATGTAATCAAATTATGATCCAACTGAAAAAAACAAACAAACAAACGGGGGCAGAATTTGCAGCACTGGAGCATTAACACAGAAGGAAACAGCCTGCTCAGGAAGCAGGAGAAAAGAAGGAAGCTGGCAGTTTGCTTCCCAGAGATGCACACACAAGCTTGCATGGTCCAAACAGTGTAAACAAGCTGAAAATTTCTGCATAGCAACCAAAATAAAGACAATAGCTCCTACCATAACATCACCTGCTAGTGCTGAGGAGCATCAACTTGAAAAGGCTATTTCTGAATAGCTAAAAAAAGCCATGAGAAGCACAGAAATGGTTGCAAAGAAGTTTTTGGCTGCCCATAACTGCATATCACAGGATGAAAGTATGATCCTAAAGAAGAGAAGGAAGAACAGACAAATGAAGAAAACTAACACTCAGAAAGCTGACTTCAAGAGCAGCTGTCAAAAAATAATTCCAAATGAAAAAAAAAAATCTTAGAAGTTTCTTAATAAATAAAATTAAGCCCAAAAGCTTAAGTTTATACTTTCTTCCATCCCTTCATATTTTTACAGTAGTAAGAGACTAGCCTGGACAAATCATGAGTGAAGCTTACCATCTTTAGAAAGCAAAAATGAAGCAGATAGAAAAAGAAAAATTTTCAGGATGAAAGAAGAACAGTAGTCACAAAGGAACAACAAAAAAAAGTGGGGAAACAGAAAGGCAAAATGCAGCAAAAGTATGAAGAAAACAGGTACACGATGGGTATGAGAAAGAAGTTCTATAAGCAGCATAGGGAACATCACAGGAAGATTTAGCCCATCATCCAAAAGGTAAAGAAAATTTACAGCCTCGCCATATACTAACAATACACTAACTGCCCTACCTGCATTACAGCTAAGCTAGCCCTGCCCTATTCCATACAAAACCCCCAGGCTCACTCCACACGGGAATAATAAAGGTCTCAGTGCCTCAAGCAAAGCAAGTAACCCTGAACTTCAGGCCAGACTGGAACAACAAACCAAGGGACATCCCAAGAGAGCTGACACGCATCTCCTGCCATAACGAATCAGAGAATGAAGCAATGGGGAGAAACCCAGTTAACAACACCAAGAGAAACACCAAGTTGGTGAAAGGCACACCCACGGCAAAAGCCCTGAGGGAGCGGGGCAGAAGAGGGGCAGCCAGGGCTAAGGAAGGGCCGCAGCAGGGGCAGGGGCCGCCGCAGGGGCCGAGGGCTGCCGCAGGCCGCTCCAGGGAGCAGAGAGGGCCCGTGGGTCAGGCGAGGGAGCACGGACAG